GTAATCTGTTGGAGCAAGGTCCGGGGAGTACGGAGGATGTCTTAGACATTCCAATTGAAGCTCTTCTAATTTGGTAGCCGTCTGTTGTGCAGTGTGTGGTCTAGCGTTGTCGTGAAGTAGCAGTGGCGTGGAGCGATTGACCAGCCTAGGTTGTTTAGCCGCTAGCTTTTCCATCATGGTTTGTAATTGCTGACAATAGACATCAGCCGTAATAGTCTGGCCAGATTTGAGAAAACTGCAATGAACAATACCGGCACTAGTCCACCAAACGCTTACAAGTAACTATTTTGGGGTTAATTTTCGCTTGGGGCAGGATTTGGCTGGCTGGCCAGTATCTAACCATTGCACTGAGCACTTCCGATTATCGTAAAGAATCCATTTTTCATCACAGGTAATGATTCGGTTTAAAATACCTTCATTATTGTGCCGGTTCAGTAATGTAACGCAGCAGTCGACGCGTGTTTGCCGGTTTGCTTCAGTCAAGTCGTGAGGTACCCATCTTTCAAGCTTTTTAATCTTCCCAATTTGCTTCAAGTGAATTAAAACCGTTTTATCACTAACACCGCAGCCTGCAGCAAACTCGGACGTGGTTTGCGATGGATCCGCTTCCACAATAGCCTTCAATACTTCATTATCAACTTGGGCCTCAGGCCGTCCACGGGGCTTGTTCTGCAGGTCGAAATTTCCAGAACGAAAACGTTGGAACCAAAAACGAACTGTGTTTTCTTTTGCAACATGACCGCCATACACATCAATCACCCTTCGAGTCGTTTCCGCAGCACTAGTGCCACGGCGGAACTCGTTAATAATGCGATACTTTAAGTTTTCCATTTTGTAAAATGAGTGACGCAAACAGAAAAAAACAAATGAATGTCGTTCATCGAAGCACAAATACATGAGTAAATAGCTGTACAAATTTGAATTTGGAATTCCTTACCAAAGAGGAGAACATCGTGATTAAAGTGGCCATTACGAAAAACGCCATTTTCATATGTAAGGACGTAATATATTACAAGAAATAAGACGGTTTCCATATCCTTTTGCGTCTGTAGTCATGCAAATATCTTTTGAACCATATGTTGTTAAGTAACAAAACACTATTGATTTTATGTAATTCAAACCGTCTACTGGTCAGTTACAAGGCATTGATTATCGAAGCCCCACGGACCGAGACAAGGCTAGCGTTTCTTTAATTTAATTATATGCCTTCTGGTATTTATCAACTTTGACATTTCATTTGGGTCACAGGTTTTACGTGGAAAGAAGGTTTGGTACGCAATACCTATTTAATGTAGCCCTAAACCTCAAAAACATATCTAAATAGATAGGTATGGGATTTCAATAAAAATTTAGACAAAGATTCAAAGACAATTTAAATTTGAAGAGTCCGTCTGTCAAGTCATTTTGACAGCTGAGTTATTCCCGCTTAAATGTTTATAATATTTTGCTATATCTGTTGCGTTATGTGTTATGGCGATGATATAATCTATGTTGTCTAAATTTGTTCTTTGGAAAAATGTATCCAAAATTCACAAACTATTTATCAAAACGATACTATATACTATTAATATTATATCTTTCAATTAGAGTAGGTATAATAATCTTGTAATCTTAAGATACAAAAACATTGTATCTTAATATAAATAACAACGCCACGGCGGACATATTACATATATACTTTATCATTTTATACATCTATATACCGCAGGAAAAAAAGCAGTTAAGCTACAACCTTTTAGGTCTGGCCCTCAGATTTCTGTATCTGTTTTATGATCATTTGTTTTTTGTAATAATACAAGTATGTGATCGTGCCTGACACACGCCGTCGACTTTTCTTGTCTTCATGGTTTTTCCTTCGAGTGTTCAATGCGCACATAGAAATTCCACTAGTGCTGGGGTTCGAACCTACGAATTCAGGGATGAGAGCCGCAAGCTTTAGTCACTAGGCAAGCACTGCTACTTCGTGTATGGTATAGGTATATTGCTGGATTTATTCCTTAAGTATTAAGGTGCTTCATTCGACACGGTGACCGAATTATCGATTGGGGATACGACACCGGATAGTCAATGACCCCAATCATTGATTTTGTGTGACAAATTTTAAGTTTGTCTCGCTTAGTTTAGTTTGACAAAGGAAAACCAAGTATAATATATATATTATATATATATGGGGTGTGATGTGACTTCAAGATATTTTAAAGCTAATTTTAGGCGTTGCTGTCCGTCTGTATCTCAAAGCCACTTTATTCCGAATTATAACTAAGACATAATTCAGTAGGTAGATATATTCTATGATGCTTTACGATCTTTATACAAAAATATAAAAAAAATTGACATTTATATAAATACTTTTTGGCTGGTGAAAAAATATATTTGGCAAGATGAATGTAATGTCTCAACATATATATATCAATGCTTACTGTATGGACCAATCCGACTCGCACTTGTCCGCTTTTATTTTAGTTTTAATAGCATTATAAGAATTATAAAGTTTTTATGAAGCTGTAATAAATGTTGCGCTCGTTGAACTCGTTTGTATGCAACTCTTATATTCAGAAATGTTTTTAATATCAATATAGACAATTAAATGGATTCATAAAAAATTGGTTTTAACTTATTAAAATTGAACTTTCGATACTATGGAAGGGTACATTCTTATTAAAATTAAAGTTGGAACGAATAAAAAAATTAATTCACCTATCACTATCAATGAAATTGCCAGATTAAAAAGCAACTGGCCGTAAAATTCAAAAGGACTCATAAAAAGAATACAGAATAAAAAAATTAAATTCAAAAAAGGAATTCCCAGCTGCCATCGTTACGCGGCTTCGCTCGTGGGAGTGAGAGGACAATGGGCCACGTGAATGCGTGCGACAGAGACGGCAACAGGGATTATAGAATGCTATAGGATTATTTTCTCGCATTAAACGTGTATCGGCGTTTAGGTCTAATGGTGTACATTTTGTTTACTGATTTACTGAAATTTATAGGTCGGAATGTTGAATCTATTGAACTTGATTGAAAAGCCGAGGTTTCATTTCAGCTTTGGATTTCATCGAAACATTTATTGAGACATTTTCTTTACAATACTATGTCGTCTTCCCGTGATCTAGCTTAAGAAGGTTATTAACCCTTATTATTTTAATATTCAATATGACGGCGTATAATCTTAGGAGTTTTCTTTAGCACTACAAACATTTGTGGCATAGAGTTTCCTTACTTTTCTCTGTACTAGATATAGTCTATGGATCGGCGTGACTTTGTCGATATTATTATTATTTACCACACGTTGTTACATTTATTTATAGTTATACAACAAAACAAAACATTGTACAAAGTAAGAATCAAGTTCTATCGAACTAAAATGACGTAACAGTGAAACGTCACTGTCCGAATTTACGGTAAGAGTGACGTTCAGAAGTACCGCGGCCTTTGAACTTTGAAAATGAATTGCGCACACCGTTAACTTAACATAGCCGGTATAAGTTGACTAGTTAGGGCTGAAACTGCTCGGTGAAAAGGCTTCTAAAAATATCAATAAATGTAAAAAGTGAACATCAAACTTTACTAATTAAAACAACTAACAAGCTACTGGCAACCCCGGGGGGTTGGGAGACCTGGGGGTGGATAAGCGGCTTACAGCGGCCCTGTTTTGATTATTTCCAAGGATGTCTTCTTGCTTCGTAAATTATGCAACACTCTGTGTTGCTAGTTTAATGTAAATTCTACTAAATGGTAGTTTTTGTTGTCCAAGCGTGTCATATACCTATTATAATAATACTAGCTGACCCGGCAAACGTTGTTTTGCCATGTATATTATTTCTAGTTGTCGGGTTGATCGTAGAGGGGTGAAAATTAGGGGCTGTATGTATTTTTGTATGCCGTATCATAAAAAAATAAAAACAAAAAAAAAATGTCTGAATTTTTTTTTGGGGTCGTCACTTAGGGGTTTGAAAGATAGATAGTAGCAGATTCTCAGACTTAATGAATATGCATTAAAAAATTCATAAGAATCGGTCAAGCCGTTTCGGAGGAGTATGGGAACGAATTGTGACACGAGAATTTTAATAATATATATAAAATCGGTTATTTTTGTTTTTTTTTTGGTATTACATTACTTTGTAAAATTAAATTAAAAAATAACTTTTATATTTATCAAATAATTTACGCAAATAAAAATTCATCTCAACATTGTTGGCGATTGTCAAATTTCAATTACCATCCCTCTTCATCTTATAAAGATTATTCCGTTTCTAAGACTTTTTTCAATTATTCTTCTGATGTTTTCCTTGAGGGATATTGTTTTTATTATTTATTTCGTCCACCTTGCTTCATAGAGCGAGTATTATATATACTAATATTATAAAGAGGAAACATTTGTGTTTGTTTGTAACTGCCGGACCCATTTCAAAAATTCTTTCACCATTAGAAAGCTGCATCTTCACTGACTGACATAGGCTATACTACATTTTCAAAAAAAATAGGGATCCCTAACAAAAATGCAATAATATAACCGATGGTGTGAAAAAAATATCCATAAAAAATCTGTCATTGCATGCGCCGTGGAAACTATTGATGACAAAAATATTATTGAAATATTATTATTATATTGTACAGTATTATAGAACGTATTAATATCTACAACAATAATGTTTTACCCATGGGCAATTATATGTCCCGAGTCGGAACTTAAATCAATAATTTTTCAATTATAAGTATAAGTAAGTGTGTATCTAATTTTCCTTTCAGATGAAAGGTAGTATTAAAAACTAAGTAAAATAAAAGTTTAATTCTAACAAAAATACCTATACGACTTAGTAGACTTTCCACTACCACGAAATAGGTATCTACGCGAGTGAAACCGTGGGCCATTGCTAGTAATATATAATTTGTAGGTACGTTAAATGTATACCTATCAATTTAATTGAAGATTTCGTCTTAGTATGCGAATTATAATTAAAAAGTAAGTGCTATGTTACCGTTAAGCTAAAGTGCGTATATCAAATAATTATAAAAATCTTGCCTTGAGGAAATCCAACAGCTTCAAGCCCGTGATGCGACAGTCCGAACGGCCCTAAGCCGCCCAGAGGTCCCGGACCCATGCCCATATGATGCGCACTAGAATGGTGCGCATAGGGATTTTGGGACAAAGGCGAGGGCTGCTTCAGGTAGTGGAAATAGTGGTGTAACGGTGTGGTCGAGTGGTGCGCTTGGGGAGCCGCCGGAGTAGCTGTAGGCCCACTGGCGGACGAATTTGTCAAAAGCGCCATCTCGTATCCGTTTCCGAAACTAGTCACCGGGTTGCACGTTTTCTCGTGTGCATTTTTGGTAGTTTAAGTCTAATTTTCAATGGATATCTCTTTCCGTACGCACATTTTGGTGGTTACCTGAAATGAGAAAGTTTAATATTACATACTTGTACATAACCTGTGATATTTGACATATACAAAGGACGTTTAAATTTACAAAAGATTTTGCAATTTTATAACTAAGGTATAAGGTTTTAATTAAGTGTCTTTACTCTTTAGCTATATAATTTAGCAACATAAGTTGACCGCACCATCTAGCCATAAAAACATTTTAGCGTCAATGTCACAAGGTGCAGTCATAAATTAGTAACATTTTAAACTTTATAATTAATTTTCATTCATGCTAATTAGTAATTACATAACGGTTTGGTGTAGTGTAAAATACAAAGTAATTATTTTAAACGCAATTACTGTTTGACATTGATTAAAGGTGTAAAAGTAACATACGATTTAACGGTACAAAGAAGTCAAGATCTCGCTCCTAATATATGAATAAATGCATTAAAAGCAAGTTATTACAAAATAATTGCCGTATCGTTTGCAACGTTGCAATAGCAAAACGTTTATTTCCGCTCAGTGCATCTAAATAGAATCGATCGAGCAATAATAGCGATCATATTTTTATTATAACTTATTTAACAATTACACAAAGAAAGGGCAATTTTCTGCGCGATTGCAACACCCAGTTGAAACGTCAAATGGAACGCCTTTCAAATTCGTTACGGCCGTTCGGGATTCGAATTGCAGATTTTTTTTGGCGTCCTCGACGTAGGTACATGTTTACAGACATTTTGTCACGTTTGTTTTTTTTACCTGTGTTACCTGCAAATCGAGGGGGCTATGATCTCTATTGTTCGATTTGAGCGATGACGTGTAATGCTCAAGTTTTGTGAAATTGTAGGATATCATATATGTCTAGGATTGATATTAATAATACATCATAATTCATATTACAATAATTTTATTTTAACTACACGGATTAAGTACTTAATATTAATTAAATCAATTGGTATGTTATATATTTAGTGTAAAAGCTTTCTCATTTATATTTATTCTTGTGTATATTAAAAAACAGAAAGAAAACTGTTGGACTTGAGGTCGCTACAGTGTGTGCTTTGTGTTACGTCATTAAAGTTTGACAGTCTTGATATGAAATAAAATCTTTATTTCTTCGTAAAACACTAAACCAAAGTATCTTTGTAACTGCAATCAAAATAATAAATATTAAACAATCTTTAACAAATAAATGATACGCCTATTCCTCCAGACTCTATCTCTATATGTCTTTAAAACATTTCCATTTCACCATTCAATTCACTACCGAAGAGGAAAAAGACAATGTCAAGTCTTTCAACACTGTCGCTTTCTTCAAGACTTCTCCGAAACCCGAACCACCTTTTAATCTGTCAACAAAAGATTATCCTAAAACCACAGATAAGGTATTCCTACGAACGAATATCGCCTCTATGGTACAAGACATAAGGACATTGTTTTCACGTTTCAAAGGTAATGAAAGGATTTCTGCTTGACAGAAAGTACTCAGGGTGGCTGTAATTGTTAGTTTTTAATTTGCCGGCGGTTTTTGAGTTTACGCGTCAAAAAATTCACAAAATATTCGCAAGTTTTTGTTGTAATAAGTGAAGGTGGTCTATGGTATTCAGTGAATCTTACAATTGGTAAAGCGTTTGTTTGCTTTCACTTAAAACTTTGTCTTTAATTTATGTGTAAGACGCAAAATCAAGTCAAATGATAGAAATATCATTTTAATTTATAGTTTCCTTTGTTGAATTTTATAGTCCTGCCCTGCGATTCTGTAACTCACTTTTCAAACTCACACAGCGGTTTTCGCATCGGCGGTCGCTCTCAAATCAGTCGTGATGCAGTCATTTTATGATTTGGCATTCTGATAAACAATAAACTATAAGCTCCCACCTTTTCAGTTACAGTTCGTTACAGAATCGCAGGGCTGGTAAAACAACTGTATTTAATCTTACCTTTAACCAAGAAAATCTAAAAATAGACCAATATATGATCAGGTTTCTGTTGTCATTCGCCGCCTTTTTGGGTTTACGACAAGTTCGTATTGCTTTCTCAGGATATTTATTTAATAGTTATTTGCGGAAAAGGAAAGAAAAGAATTATATGACGTTTGGAAGTCTTAGCTTCTAGTCTAGTCTTCTCGTTTCTTTACTCACCCTTAACAAACACCTTAACCACTAAGTTAGGCACTATCTTTTTTAATATTACATATTGAATAAATGTGTAAATACCACGTCGAATATTTCCAGCCCCAAATCATAGCGACCGTTTCGCACTCAATTTTGCACTTACCGTGTACACACCGCAAAAAGTTCCGAAAAGTATTGTGATTCGGACAAATGGTTACTCGGAAATTTCTAGAAAAATCACTATTGTGCCGCTAATAGTGTTCAGCGGAGCGGGATTTGTCACAATGCATCCCCTATGCTCAATTATCGCGTATAATGTCTTTGTCAAAATATGGGTTGTGGGTTGCCTGTAATTAATAATATATTTGGGAGATTTTATAAATGGATTTCAGACAAATTGGTTATATCCTCATTTTCTATTAGGGTCACAGTTTGGTTTATTCGTCTGGATAAAACAATCTACTTAATTTATTAATTAAATTAGATAAATGTTACTAAAATGATTTCATCATAGATTAAATCCAATAATTCAAGTTTTATTATTTGAGTATTGACGTGGTATTGAAACTCTTTACAGAATTTCATTTCGCCCACATTTTTATGCATTCCAATTTTAAATTTTCAGGAACCTCATGTCTATCTAAACATTTCCCGCCGAATCCCGCCCGCGCATTTCCCGATTTGTCAGGCTGACAGCCACTGTTGCCAACTGCGCAAACATAAGACAATTACATGCGAAAAGGGCGCGAATGTTTGTTTTTCTTGTTGGCAACAATGCACTCTGTTTGCATTGGGATATTATTTATGGCTTTTCACTGCCATGACAAATAGAATTTGGAGTTATTGACACCGCGAGGGGTGCAAATGTGTTGATGGGAGTGAAAAAAATTACAAATGAAGGTATTAATTTCCTTTCAATGATAATAGGAAATTGTTTCATAATACATAATATAAATGGAATATATTATTTTGCATAAGCGATCTGTGAACTGCATGATAACGAAGATTATGTACAACCTTTACCTTTTTTTTTTTATGACCTGGTATCATTTAAGTCATAACTTATTTGGAATATTTTCATTAATTTGGAGACACTAACTTAACTTCACTTCACTAAATTTCCTCACTTAAATTGTTTGAATTGTATTTTTCTTTACATTTGTATGTACCTTTGTACAAAAGACAAATTAAAATTATTACGCTTATCGTGTATTAGGAATGTCAAGAAAAACTGTATCATTTTAGAGCCAATAAAACAATCACTTCCGATCGAAAAAACCAGTTCCAAAGCCAAGATAGCTATGACGATATTTCCGAGGAAAAAAATATTGTTTCCTCCCGTTGAATAGATACATTCACGTGTAACATGTATATTTATTCTGTACAAATATTGACCGAGACGATCAAGCATACAAAAAAACAGGCCCCTGTCATTCGTGAATGAATCCATTGAAATTTCTTACATTCGATGTCTCTATATATTGTGTTCAAATATTTCTTTGAGAAAGAAAAACAAACACTGGTGATAACGATTTGCTTGAATCGGCTAGCTTGGTCTACTATTCGGATTCGTAAGGTCACGCCACAAAAAACGTGAAAATTTGACATAGAGTATAGTATATTCATAGACAAATCTTCTTAGAGTAATACTTGGCATAGGCTTGTTGAATTCTCAATCTCCTACGTATTATTGATCGGCTTGATTCTCTCGTACTACACAGAGACATTGCATCTCTTTGCGTTTTCTACAAACTGTACTATGGTGAGTGTCCTGAAGAATTGTTTGGGTTTGTCTCTCCTGCCTCGTTTCAACACCGTACGAACCGTATCGATGCAAAATTTCATTGATGGCTGGAAGTCTTCCACAGTCCGGTTCACTATGCACTTTCTTTTGCGAACTAGCGAACTGTGGAATCCACTCCCGGTAGGGGTCTTCCGTAAGAGATACGACCTCCAACTATTCAAAGCTAGAGTGTAGAGTCCCTCAAAGGCCGGCAATACACCTACTAAAAATGAGTGTCCATGGGCTGTAATGACTGCCCTTTATGAAGGTCTGGTAGGCTCGTTTGCCCCCCTAATATATAAAAAAAAGACTTATAACTTACGTATTCCATATATGTATGTCTAAACGTTTCAAAAGAATATCCCGAGTTAGCAAATATCTAATTTCGAAATTATCTATAAAAGAGCTTTTTCAACTAGTTTTAAAACGGTATAAAAAAATTACATTTTTAAACAATTTAGTCCATATTTGAATAGCTATTAGCTAAAAAGAAAACTCCACATTTAAATTATTTCCTTTTTTATAGCTTCCCCTTACCCTCCTGTAACAGAATACACAATGCATGCCAAAAGACCCAAGAGACCAAAAACAATTAGTTGCGCATAGACTAGAGAGGATAGAGGCGTAACCTGATCTCTCATTTTGCGCGCAATCACTGACAATCATATTATTGTCTGTATTACAGGCGAAAGCGATTTAACCTATAGTTCTTCACTATAAAATAGTATGTAAAAGTGAGATTTCCTTCGTTTCGGAAATATAGTTTTCTATTTATACAGTTAATAAATATTTGAGCTAAGAAAGTTATTTGTAATTTTGAAATCACTCTGATAGAACGTAAATCCCCACGGCCGAATAAAATACAATTACCTAATTTAGATAAAGAACTAATTATTATTAGGTTTTAAATATTATAAACAATATGGTCAACCAGCAATGGTCTCAAAACTTCATAAACTAACACTTTCCTCTTTTTTTAAATCTACGCTTATAACTTAGCCCAATCATTT